TTTGATAGGCTATCGGATTACCTCGCATGTGCGAGGTACATCGAGCCAAATGTTGCAAGGAGCTTTTAGAATCAGTCAGAATCACGAATTTATCATACTTAATAGATTGAACGTATGATAAGGCTTCTGCTATAGCGATTAACTCAATGTGCATTATAGAAATATTGGAATCAATCCTAATTTTGATGCCGCAGTCGTTGAATGGGTCGAAAAATGCAGCACCACCAACTCGTCCGTCCTTGGATCCATCTGTATAAATCTTATGATATCTGTCGTATCGTTGATCTACAAAATTGACACAAGTGTTTCGCAGGTCACAAGGTTTATACAAATGTTTACCTTTATTGACTGATGGGATGGAATCACAAACCACACGCGATAAATCTATACTGCTGACCCATGTTTGCAATGAATACATCTCTAACTGGTTACACGAATGTAGCACCATCGAATCTAAGGATTGGAAAATAGATGTGAGTAAGGGACGTCGTTTGTTGGTCCAATAAGAAGAATGTGTACTCTCCGATAGTTCCTGCACACCGGTAATTGTCTTATTATTATTAAACGTTTTAGCTTTTAACCCGAATTTACAAGCCAAGTATTGCCGACGATATTGAAGTGGTGGTAAGTGTAATTCACTCTCCATTGTGTGTATTGGAGTACTCCGGATAAAGCCTCCTATAACCCGCAACGCTTGGTTCTGGACTTTGTCGAGTTTATATAAGTACGTTTTACAACTATTGTCATATAAGAAACTACCATAGTCTAATCTACTTCGGATGAGAGATATATATAAACGTCTTACATGTTTTTGATGAAGACCCCATCCCCGTCCGACTAGTACCTTTAATATATTTACTAACTTGGATACCTTTAAGACAGTCTCATTAATATGTTTTCTCCATCTTAATGAACCATCCAACCACATACCAAGATATTTCACCTGGTTGACAGTACCAAGAGAGACGTTATCAATTTGGAATTCAATAGTATCTCTGGAATAACCTTTCCTAAATATGCAGATTTTACTTTTAGTCGGTGAGATCACAAGCCCTAAGTTTGATAGCAATGAACTCAGGTCGAGGCAGGCATTTTGTAATTGTACAGCTGCATTACCTATCTTTTTATCTGATTTGTATAAAACAAAATCATCCGCGTATTGCAAGATTTCAACATTTTGTATCTTTTTACATATGTTTGAGGTTGCTATGTTGAATAGTAGCGGGGAAAGCGGATCTCCCTGAGCTAAACCACGACCAGTCGTTCTAGATATATCGACACCATCAACGTCAACGTGCAATCGTCTATTTTTTAAATACGCCCAAAGGTACAAGCAAATCCGAGAGCCAACCCCATAGCTATCCAATACTTTGATTAAACATGCCAAGTCTACATTATTGTATGCGTTGTCTATGTCGACGAAGCATGCAGCAGTTATTAAATTTTTTGAAAAACCAGTTTGAATGTAGGAAACCAACCGTGTCAGATTATCTAAACAGGATCTAGATTTACGAAAACCTACCATATTATCTGGGAACATATGACATTTTTCAAAGTACCATTCCAATCTTTTATTTAAAATGCTGTGTAGAATTTTACAAAAACAAGAAATTAGTGATATTGGGCGTAATGCACTATCTGAATACATATCCCGACCAGGCTTCGGAATAGGTATAATTTGTACGTTACGCCACTGAAGCGGTACAAAGCTATGATTGAGAAATTGATTATATAGGGTTAATAAAAAGGATTTACCTATAGGTGGAAGGTTTGCTATCATAGAAAAGGACACGTCATCACTACCCGGTGCAGTGTCGGTACGTTTTATAGAATTTTTTATTTCTTGAAGAGTAATAGGGGACTCCAAATGACTATTTTTCGATTGAATATTAGGTTGAGGTGGACATACAAAATCTGGGGTGATATCGTTTAAGAGCTTCTCTATTTTCTCTTTGTTTAAGTGTTGTAATGTATGGTGTGTATGACCTTTAATCCATTTCATTTTCCGCCAAAGTATTCTTGAGGAAGATGTTTCATCCACGGATGAACAAAATTCCTGAAAAGATTGCCCTCTGGCTAGCCGAATAGCACGCTGTGCATCTCTTATTTTGTTTTGCAGTATAACTAAGTTACCAGGGGATGGACATCGTCGCAAGTTGGCAAGGGCCAGGCGACGCTCAGCTACCGCTTTTGATAGCTCTGCGTTCCAATAGGGTTTAGGTGTAAATTTGCTGGTTATTTGTTGGGGTATTTTTTTAAAAGGAATGTATAAATTCGCTGCTTCTTGTACGATCTTTTCAAATAAATTGTAAAATTCTTGAAGTTGTGAAGGGACAGATATTGACGATAAAGCGTTTTCTATATAAGACGAATATGCCTTCCAGTTACTATTTTTGAAATTTCTTTTTGTTTTAATTTTTTTAGGGATGTGTATGCTAGCATATAGCTTAATTATCAAATGGTCACTGCCGAGATTTTCGTTTGTGGGTTGCCAAGTAAATAAGGTCGCCAAGTCTGCGGAAATGAAGGAGATATCTGGTGATGATTGCTGTAAAATACCATTTACTAATTTAGTACGCGTAGCGCAACCATTATTTAAATAAATAAAGTTATGATCTATCATACAATCGTATATCTGGTGACCCCTCTGATCAGAACGAGATGACCAGTTGGGGTGATGTGCGTTAAAGTCACCAAGAAGTAGCGTTTTTCTATCAGAGAGAGAAAATAGAAAGTCCCAATCGTTTTGTGTTGTACGTACCGTGGATGGACAGTACACAGAAATTACGTTTTCTATGTGTGGGCAGTTAAAAACTTTTACATGTATTAGTTCTATGTCCGGATTAGTGCAATTAGTTAAACATGTGGTGCACTGAATAGTTTTGTGTGTTAATATAGCAACCCCTCCATATCCATCAAATCTATCAGATCTAAATATGTTGTAATTACTTATACGAAAAGCACTTCCTCGCTCCAGCCAAGTCTCACTCAGGACTGCAATGTGTACCTTTTCTTGAATTAAAAGAGTTTCGAGAGATAAGGATTTCGGCCTTAAACTTTGACAATTCCATTGCATTATTACAAAATTTGTATTGACACAAGTACTATCCATAATTAACAAGGCTATTAAAAAGTGAACTAACAGAAGTACAACTCAAAATTTTTGACAATATCCAGTCTGTGCAAATTGAAACTACTTGTTTAATTTTGTATTCTAAAGAAATCTTACTAAATATAATATTTTTTAACTGTACAAGAAGTGGTAAAAAACTTAAATTTTCAAATTTGTTATTGAAAGTCTTACTATGAGTCTCTTTTTCAACCCGAGGACAGTCGTCAGAACTTGTAAACCCCGACGCCTCTTTATTCCAGTTAGTCTCCCTGCAATCTGCGGCACTGGAAGATGGGGGAGGTGGTAAAGGTGTAGGCGCTCGTTGTCTCTTTTTCTTTCTGCGTGATTGCGTTGAATTAGGCTGATCCGCGATAGAAGTAAATAGTTGAGAAAATAGGCGTTCGCTTTCTGGCCTATCGTGTTGGTTATTCACGTGTGTACTTTCCGAGACTGTGATTCGTTGTGATTGTATTTTATCTTCTTCATACAGCTTGTTAGGTCCAGTTAGTTTAGGAATCGGGCTAGGCGGGACATATATTGACAACGCTTTCCTATAAGTACAATTAAACTCAGACATTAACTCCCTGATCCTCCTCTCTTTCTTAAATAAAGGACAGGATTTTTGCAACGCCATGTGATTTCCTGTACAGTTGACACATTTGTAGGATGTAGTGTCGCAATTCTCGTGGCCTTTTGTACATTTAGGACACACAACTTTTTTTGATGGACACATTCTCCACGCATGCCCGAATTTCCAGCAGCGTGAGCATTGTGTCACTGGAAATATATACGGTTCTACTTTCACTCTCATCTGCTCAATATAGACATACCCAGGCAGTGATGAGGTTCTAAAGCCAAGGCGAATGGTTTCGCTTTCAATCCAATTGTGATTAGTGGCACTCGTAGAACTCGGCTCAATATTATTCCGTTTGTTTAGTCTTTTAACCGATACAATATCATAATCACTCGATAAACATTTTAAGATATCTGCCTCTGAAAGATCTAACTCCACATTTTTAATAATTCCGTAAGAGATTCCAACCTCCGAAGTTTTTTGGCTTCTCCATCCTAACTCCGTAAACTCTTTGCACCCAATAAAATCGTCCGCATCAGTTGCGCATTCAAAAGTTATTAAAATTTTATTTTGGTGAACGTATTTGATGCGCTCAATTCCTTTTATATTATTTTTTGTAAACAATCGGGCGAGTGCGAATTGTTTAGGCAAAGCTGTATTGTGTGTAACAGACACTTGAAATTTATCTTGCACTTCCTGACTGTCCCTACGAACCACTTTATTCCTTCTATAAACTGTATTCCATTCCTCTGATGAGTTATCCTCTCTTGTCCTCTTGTTTAATCTGCTTTCTTCTACCTCCTCATTTGCTTGTATTCGGTCACTGCATTCCATTCTGTCCTCCGTTTCATTCACAAGGTTAGTACTGTTGACACGCGTCATTTGATATTCGACCCTATCCTCGATAGCATTAGAGCGATCACTCATCGCGCACGAGCGGCGCCCCGGCCCTATCGGTCGGGAGCACGCTTATCGCAGATTTTATTATTTTACTATGTACAGCAGCGTTAAATACACGACCTAATGACACGAGGTGGCACCGGCGAGTGCCATAATTATTATAGGATGGAAATATTAGACGAAAACGTGTTGTTGGACGTAATATTCACTGTCTGAAACTGACATTGACACATGGAAATAATATTGTCATTGTTATGTCAAGCAAAGAGTATACAATACAAACACTACGTTAGTTGTCAATCTTCATCCCTTCTCTCTGTCCTTACTTTAATAAATACTTACCGGTTCGTTCCATACATACATACTAGTCTTGCACGAGTTTACCGTTTTCACACGTAAATATCTGTAGCAATAATGAAATCAAAATCAGGCCTGACGAGACTCCACAACTGCTACATTCTTCGTAATAGTAAAATAATAAAGGAAGACTTATGGATAAGGGATGATAGAATTGAAGATCCAGAAAAAGTATTTTATGAAGAACAGTTACAAGCTGACATAACTGTAGACTGCGGAGGTCTTTTAATAGCTCCTGGGTTCATTGACATACAAATCAATGGTGAGTATTTTTATTTTAAAAGTGAAGTGACCTCTTTATATAAACCTGTCCTTATCTTTGCAAATATTGCAACGACATGGCATTTAAAACTATTCTTACTAAAGGTATTGCAGAGCTTAATAGAATTAATCAAAAAATGTTGCGCAGGTACAATTACCCTTATTAACAAAAACTTAGTTAAATATCATTGAACTAAAAGAGATTAGTAAAGTAGATAAGTTTTTATTATACAAAGTCAATATCATACAAGAACAGACTCAAAGAATACATCACTTCTTTTTCACATTAAAGATTATTATTTATTATCACTTATCAAATTAAAATTCTAGCATTTAATGGCATTTTGATCAAGTGCTAGAAATTATTCATATATTTTTTGTTTTTTTTTTTACAATGTGTGAAATTAAGTAAAAAGAAATGGTGTCATTTAAGGTGGCTGGGGAGTAGACTTCTCATTTGATTCAGATAATGTTGAAGAAGGAATAAGAAAAGTATCCAAGGAACTTCTTACCCATGGTGTCACCTCATTCTGCCCAACAATGGTCACTTCAGATGTGGAGAAGTATCGTAAAATTTTACCTCTGATCAAACAGACTGATGGGGGTCCTCATGGGGCAACTGTTCTTGGTGTGCATTTAGAGGGCCCATTTATTAATTTGGCGAAAAAAGGGGCCCATATGGAGGAATACATCAGGATACCTGAAAAGGTCTGTATTTAAGCTATTTAATTAAATTTGCAAGAGTAAGGTATGTGGCTGATGTGACTACTGATTAAAAAGAAGACCTTTTGCAATTGTTTGTTCAAATTTGAAGTGAAAGACTAATCTTATTTTAACTGCCTGGCAATACCCAGTTCAAGTGACAAGTATACAACTCTGATCTTCTAGAGCTATTGTAAATACTTTACAATCTGTTTATAAGCATATCTTTTTCTTACTATTTCTTTACCTTTCTTTCTTCTCTACATTTTCTTTTCAATATACCCCCAATTTGCCCATCTTTAATTTTAAAAGCACTTGATTTATTGCACAAGAGTTGCCTAAAACTTGACTAGTAAGTAAATGGTACCAAGTTGTAATTGGCAAAGTATGAATGTTAAATAAGCCATTTTCTATGCCTTTGGAAATAGAGGCATTTCACTGATACAATAATATAAACCTACAAAATAGGAAAAAAAAAGAATGGCTGTTATTTTCAGCAAGATGTACATTTGTTTAGTAAATTGAAATTAAATAAGAGATTTTCGATTAGTATAGAACTTTGTTTCAGATATTTTTTGTGTAACTGTATAGAGACAAAAACAGCAACCAACTTTTCTTGTATTATTCTTTTCTGTTCTATTATCTAATAATTCGTTTCTCTATCTTTTTCTAGAGTTGAGGACATGCCACTCATCACATCAACAGTCTTTAGTAGTCTACTACTGGACATAAGCCTCTCCTGAGAAAGGAGGTTTTTGCCTACTATACTAAGCTGGCCAGATGAGTTGGTATAGGGTTTGTGACAAGTTTCCTTCTCTTTGCAGTGCTGTTGTCCTGTGTAGTTGGCTCCCTTATTCGGCTCTTACGACACCCACCGTATAAACAGGGGCGGTGACACTTCCTATTCTTACACGGTCACTACACGGATGCTATTCAAATTTGACCTCAACTGACTACAAATTTTTTTAGGTTGAGCACTAAAATAATAACTGTTGCTAAAATTATCTAAGGCTTCAATAACATTTATAAAGTTATTGATAACATCATAAGTAAATGTATGACTGTGAAACAGCTACAAAATAGGTTAATGATAAGTATGATATGTGTAAATACCAATGGCTACAACATTAAACATATATTGTCATTATTAGATAATAAGACCTGTTACATTGATATTGAGTGTTGTTTATATCAAGTACATACAATACAAGTTAAACACGCCCACTACTACTGTTTACTTGGCTGTGCTTCAACATTCTTGTTTTTTTATTTGTTTATTACTATTTGTTCATCCATGTGACACACTAGATGTAATTTTAGTAATATTTATCATCTTTTCTATCTGTGTGGTGATGTATTAAGAAAATGGAGTGTCACCACCCCAATTCATCTCGTGGGTGTAGTAAGAGCCGACTCCCTTAGTAGGCTCTTACTTATCAAATTACACAAGACAACAGGACTGCCAAGAAAAGGAAAACTTGACACAAACAAGCCATCTGGCCAGCGTAATATAGTAGGACAAAGCCTCCTTTCCAAGTAGAGGCCTATGTCCAGCAGTGTACTATTAAAGACTGTTGATGTGATTTGATGTAATGTTATGTTCTTTAATAAATATTCTTTAAAGATGGCGAATGATGAAATGTAAGCTCATTGTCTGAATTTCAGGGTATACAAACACTTACAGAAGTTTATGGTTCATTAGATAATGTTGTCATAGTAACGATTGCCCCAGAACTCCCCGGCGCCACACAAGCTATCAGAGAATTGACTAATCTTGGAATCAAAGTAGCTTTAGGTCACTCCACTGCCAGCTTGGCCCAAGGAGAAGAAGCAGTTGAATGTGGAGCTAATTTAATCACTCACCTTTTTAATGCTATGCTCCCGGTAAGTAAATTCCACTGTAAAACATAGTTATACAATTCAATACACTTTATCCGAAGCAACAAAAGAATGCACGCTTTATATCTTAAAACTTAATTATACGTTCATGGTAGTTAGTACTTAAAGAAGTACACAAGAAACCAATCTGAAGTGAATTTGCTTTTTGGTGATTTCAGTTCCATCATCGCGACCCGGGGCTTGTTGGCCTATTAGCATCTTCAACAAAAAGGCAAGTTTTCTACGGCATAATATCTGACGGTATACATACTCATCCAGCTGCTCTGCGAATCGCCAGCAGGACAAACCCTGACGGTAAATAATAATATTTTTCAATAATTGGATTATTTGAATTCATATAATATTAATAACTACATATATGTTTTTCCTTAGGACTAGTGCTCGTAAGCGACGCTGTAGCTGCCCAAGGACTTGCAGATGGCAACTATCGTATTGGTCCCCAACTGGTCACTGTTGAAGGTGTTCATGCTTATGTAACAGGCACTAAAACACTCTGTGGAAGCACTTCAGCACTCGACACTTGTGTTGCGAAATTAAAACAGTCGTTAGGTAAGCAAATTTATGCCAAAAGATCCGTTGAAGTGTAATATTCCATTATTAAAAAAAACAAAATGTTATTATTACAAATACCTAGGTACTCTTTTATTCTTTAGCTAACAATTCTTTTAAGTAAAGGGACATCATCAGGTGGTGGTGCACCTTGCATGTACTTTTATTTTATTATTCGTCTTAGAATACAAATTTGTCTTATTTACCCATATATATTACTATTTCTAATTAAAATTTTACATTATATGAAGTAAGTGATATCATGTCTTAGGTGTAAGTTGTAAATTAGGTCCCAATTGTGGGCTAGATGCAGCGCCTAGGATACCGGCTATAGCAATGCTATATTTGTACAATTATAACCTCGGTGCACCTACCCTACAAGATTTCTATACCACCCAAAGGTTGTCTGGTAGAGAATGCTCAGGGCATCAAGTCCGCCATGTATATAAGTGCATAAAGATGTAAAATAAATAAATGACATATATCACATCATATTCTGTTAAGCTTCATAACTTTCACCTTACTCAATGTCAGACAAAACGGCTTTCGTCGGGGTCGCTCAGTTGGTGATCTTGTTTATCTAACACCCGGTGTGGGCACAGGCGATCGAGACCAAGGACCTGCCGAAAAGGCCGGCAACGCGTTTGTGACTCCTGAGTTGCAGACGTTCATAGGCGGCATTAGTCGCTTTCCATCAGGTGACCCGTGTGTGAGAGGCTTTTGCGGTTAGCTTAGACATAGCCAAGGGCTTCTCTCGAAGTTCCCTTCTTATGGGCTTCCCAAGACATTGTATAACAGGCTCACTCGTTGCCTGTTCTATCATCTGCATAGCACCAGTCACTACATTGCTATGCAGATCGAGAAATACCTTTTATACTGCCCGCCCCGATATTTCTCACGCGTTCACTACAAAAAAAAAGGCGTTTGTCATATTACCTTAGTTTGAGAGCACCAACTGCTACAGCCAGTATCTGAATCCTCGGCATAGATATTTCGAGCGAAGTCCAGTTTCGCGGTCATTAAGAGGGTAAGGTCAATAAGTGTCCTGAACAGATCGAGGCAGTATTTCACTCCGGCCCACCGCCTTCAGCTCGTTTAAGGTGCAAGTCCGGCTGCATATGGAATACTGCTCTCATCTCTACCACCTTCTCCCTCTGGTCTAGTCTCGTCTGGTAGCTCTAGTCGAGTCGCTTTAGATGCGAATCGATGATAGCCAGAAGACCTCAGATCGGTTCGACCCCTTAGCGTTACGTAGATGTAGCTTCACTCTGCATTCTCAATCGTATGTATCATAGACAGTGCTCCGAGGAATTGTTAGGAATAATAAAATTATCGTGTAGTGTTTTTTAAGCTATTTTATAATAACTTAATAACTACTTTTAGCAATGTCTGTCAATAGCATATTAACAACGATTAACATCTTGTACCCCACACTTTTTACGATATTTTTTTTTAATCACTAGTTTTCTTTTTGAACTTATATAAAATTATTTTCTACTTTTTAGTTCGGGTTGTTACAAAAGCGTATTTTTTAAAATATTTAAACTTTTATGTATTTTTGGGTTTTTGTGTTTAATGCTGATTATTTTCTCATTAAAGACTAAAATAGTAACAAGTGAGTTACATATGCTTCAGTACACGCTTTAGTACTTGATATAAGACACTACTGTATTTTTAGATACCTATGGAAAAAAATGTTAATCCTGAAGTGATCCTGCAAAATTTTGAATTAATATGACCTTTTAAAGTTGGTAAATATCGAGTTCAAAGATTCTGTTTCATGCATACACAGGCAAAGCTAATAAAAGCGTGCTAAAAATACTCTTTTAGACCATAAATTTATTTTATCTGAATGTTTATAACAAACACGTCTGTATTATTTTATTTTACTGAATGGTGTAAACGAATGCAAATCTTGTTACAGATTGTTCTATGGAATACGCACTAGAAGCTGCATCTTTGCATCCAGCTAAAGCTTTAAGCATTGACCATAGAAAAGGAAAATTAAATTATGGATATGATGCTGACTTTGTGATTATTAACCCCGATACGTTAAAGATAAAATCTACATGGATCGCGGGTGAATGTGTTTATAAATGTGATCAATTTTAGGTTTTTATTGAGTTCGTAAAATCTATTCCATATTATTATATTCTATTTTATCCTTTTCATAAAAAGGCCACTATATTTTAATGTAAATATTGTTACTAATTAAGTATACGATGAATATTATTCAATGCTATTTTTTTATAAAGAAATAAAATGGTAAACCATACTTAAATTTTAATAATTTTAATTTTATATATCTGGTGTAAGGGACATTGTAACGAGTACTGAAATAGTGTATTCAGACTATCATTCTGAGTCTAAAATCATTAATTCAGCCTTTAACAGTCCACTGCTGGACATAGGCCTCGCCTTAGAGAGGAGGTTTTAGCCTACTAAACCACGCTGGCCAGACGGGTTGGTATAGGAATTGTTTCAAGTTTTCCATCTCTTTGCAGTGCTGTTGTCCTGCGTAATTTACTCAATTAGTCATCTCTTACGACACCCACGGGATGAATATGGGTGGTGACACTCCGTATTTTTAGAGCTATTCTCCCGAAGGCCTTTTTTATTTATTCTTACGTACGCAATTTGAACATTTATATTAAAAGCCTTTTCTTCAGTTTTGTTAAAGTTTCGCGAAAAGTTTAAAGCCGATCTTATTGAAATTTTGTTAGCTAACTGGAGGCTATAAAACCCATATTATTTTCATTCACCATAACGCGAGTTATATATATTTTTCTAAATGGTAAAACACGCGGTATTTTGCAATTTGCAAAATAACTATTTAACCAATCTAGACTACAAGTCATATTTTGTTCGTCTTTTTATTGCGCATTTTTTTTACATTTACACTTTCTTTGTATGATTTGAAGTTTTCTTGTAAAACGCGATAAACCGTTTTTGTCATTTTTTTGACAATGTCACCACGAACGGATCCGGTTATACATTAATCGTAACATTGTCAAGTAACGGAAGAAAAAAAATGAAAGTTGATGATGTTCCGGCCGCCGGCCAGGAAAAAACCAAATTCAATTATTTATAATACAATATTTTTTTAAAGTCTCAGGGTGTGACTTCTTGCACAGGAAGCTTTCTGGTTGAACCTATGTGCACTGTGCACTTATCTGCTTTTAATTTTTCTTCTTTTATTTTTATTATTTTAGATTAGCACTGATTGAACAACGTTTTAAAACTGTGGACAAACAATCACGTATACGAATCGCAAACAATTAACTCTCAGGCGTCGAAATCCTCTTTCCTCCGCGGATTCGCTTTTATACCTCTGTATCAGGACGGCCCATTTCCGCCTTGAGGGGACAATGCGTACTTTCTGGAACGTTCGTATGAGACGAGACAGAGATATGGAAAGAACGGTGCAACCGAGCGAGAAGGAATCATTCACCGGCAGCCGGCCCGTTGTCAGCCACAGTCACTTCTCGATATTTCTAAACACCCACAATGTGGCGCTCGTTTTCCAGAACAATTTGGCTCCCGATACCGACGATTACCTTATATGGTCATTTTAATGTTATCACTAGTTAATGCGCGCGGTTTCCATTCGGTCGTAACAACTATTACTTTGTTTGTCTGTGTGAAATGATCTTTTTATTTATGTGAAATGATTTATATATAAAATTATTTGTGTGAAATAATTTTATTATATTGTCTTTATTTATTTATGTTGTAAGATTGTGTATTTACTTTGTAACGTAGCAATGACGTACGTAACAATGACTTCCATTTTCCGTCCACAAAGTTGACTTATGAAATAAATCTATTGTTCATATTTCATTATTGTTACTTTTTAATGTATTATACCCGTGACATGTCACCGGTATTTCTAACGGGGATCTTAAGCACTATCCGGTGCGCTTGCTTGAGCTGAGTTCTGGCGCAAGACGATGCTGATAGGCGCTTAGCCCATATCGGCGCTTCGTAGAGGGCCATGGATCGTATCACCGCACAGTATAGGCGGCTAATTTCCTCCCGCGGATCCCCTAGATTACATAGCAGCCTCTGTAAGGAGCCCGCCACCCCGAGAACTCGGGGTATCATTCGCTCAAGATGTTCCTCGAAGCTCCAGCGACAGTCCAGGGTGAGTCCTCTGTTTACCCTACGCTAATGAGCGAGCGTGTAAGATCTCTGTTGCGTGCACCTCCAATTAACCAGAGATTTGGTCTAATGGCACGCTAACTTTAGGCCCAGACCGCTGATCTTTTGGACGACACAAGTGGAGGGGCGGTGAACGGGGAAATGTATCTGGCGTATATAAAAGTACAACGGCCGCATTAACAAGTATCTCTAAGTTAAAAATTCCTAAGAAACAGTATAAAGCAGGCCCGACTACCTGCTTTAGCAATACTTTCCATTGAAACAGATTTAGCTGCAAAAAATAATTACAAATCTTTACCAGAGGATTTCAGTAAAGCAAAAAGCCGAAGAAAGCACTTCGGTAAGAAATTAAATCACGCCAGTTACAAAATAAAACCATTTTTCAAGTCTATAAGCTTTCTAATTTTCTGCCATCGTTTATTTTGCCATTTCCATTTAAAAAAAAAATTGTATTGTAAAATTGATGTATTGTAGGTACATATATGTCTTAGGAACAACAGAAAAGGGTCCTCGCTGATGCGACTTCACCCACGTGTATCTTAGTCCACGCTACGACTCTGTGTTTTATCTTCGATTTCTAATCTTATTACGCTCTTTCTTTTTTAAATAGTAATTTTTCCAATAGATTGTCTATCAAACCTTTTATTTAGTCATATATGCAGACTCTTAATAACCAGAAACATATCGAAAATTAGGTACTATTTCAAAATGGTAAATTTACTAATATTATCCATGAGATTGACTTTAGTGTTGAAGTGTATTGACTTGTAACGCTCGGCACGTTAGAATTTTTAAGCTAAGGAATATGTAGAATAAAACTATTTCATTAAATTATTAGAAAAAGAAGAAATAATTGTTATTTGATAACGTGTTGTGCACGTTGTACTATGTGAATATTAAATTTGTAAGGGAGGTTTAGTTAGGTGCGAGTAGTGGTGCGTTATAAATTCCGTTAAGAAATAAGCATTTTAATTATTTATGTATGGGTGACTATTGATGCAAATTCTTATCCCTTGACCATCTTATCTAAATCAGTTTACGCCAGTATAGCCAGCGCCTGAATCGGATAAACACGACCGCCTGTGACGTCATAACCGAGGCAAAACGAATGGCATTTTCCATTATAGTGCTGTACGTGTTATTATGAAAAAGTTTTTTACGTTTTAATTTTATATTCTGCTTCCAAGCTGAAATGTTTCGTTAGATGTATTATTGATTATTTATTTTATTAAATTTATTGTATTTTATAAGAAATATCAAAAATTACGAAATAAATAGGATTAATGACGTAAATTTGAGTTTTTTTTTTTGTTTTATATAACAGACGTGGTCTACTTGGCCGATATAATTTCGCAGAGGAGTACGCCGGGCTACGACCACTAAAAATTAATACTCTGTTCTTTTTAACTGATTCTTGAGTGGCTTATCAAATTTGGTAAGTGTAGGTACTAACTCGTAGAAATTATGTTTAATCATAAACTGTTGCTTATGATTAATTTATAATAATAGCAAATACAAATAGCAATATTAGGTATTCGTCGATATTATCGTAATGCACAACTGAACGACCTTCTTTAAATAATAATAAAAAGCTCAAAAGGCTGGGCGCTTAAAAGGTTACATATTTTTAATCACCTGAGGTACAATACAAACATACAAGCAAAATACAAACAGAAAAACTGCACTGGCCCGCGAAAATAAAAAGGTACATGTATGCACGATGCAAAATTCAAACCAATAAGAAATCACAAACATGATACAAAGGAAAAAATATTGTGATATTTAAAATTAGACCATTACACCCTTTTTTTTATTCGTGCGGAAATCCCCTCGGATACCACCTATCGGTGGCATGTCGGATACGAACCGACTAAAACCGCACGCCGTCTCGGGTACTAATAGCCGGGAACCAGGTATACCCTAGAAAGGAAGTCCCTGGTGCCCCGACATTCCTCGGGCCATCTACAGACGAGTAGACGACCCCCCCCCCCCCCCCGTATGGGGACCCCATGTTCCCTCTGCTCCCTGAAGGCGAGCGCGCTTCGCAACGCGCTCGCCGCCACCCCGGCCTGCTTCTGCTAGGGTGACAGATGGCCTCACTTGTCACCCCAGGCCTGCGCTTATGGAGGACGGAGGTCGTTCTGTGACCTCCGGCGCCTGAGTTGCCTGATAGCTGCAATCAGGCTATCGATCGAGACAACTCCCACTCTGCTGGCCGCCACGAGGTCTCGCCTCTGCTCAACCCACGCTGGGCACTCTTGCCAGCGTGCCTCTCGAGCCAATCCTCCATAACGGGTCTTACCGCCGCGATAACAGCGTGCCCAGCGTTCGGTTGCCTCAGTCGTTCTTTCCACTCCTCCACGACGACCTGGCGGAGCTGGGATTTCTGATCCTCGATTTCTCGAGACTCAGGACTCCGTGCTAGCTCCAGCGCCTCCTTGCGCCACTGATGCAGAGCCGCAAGGGCTCTCGCCTCCAGGTCCCATGGTGTAGTTCCGGCTAGGAGACTCGCCGCCTCAAAGGAGATTGTGCGATACCCCCTTATGACCCTGATGGCCAGCACTCGTTGCGGTCGTCGCAGTAGTGCGACGTTGCTGGCCTTCAGGGCGCCCGCCCATACCGCCCCATTAAGGGTCATGGACCGCACAACTCCCGAGTGGAGGGGGGTGACAGACCCTGAGGATTTCCTCACGTAAAAATAAATAAATAAATTTGTAGTAATTTAAATATTTTCAATTAGAATTTAATTATTTAAGATTAATAAAGTATGTTTTGAAGATCATAATAATAATAAATAAATTTGTAGTAAAGAAACAGCAACTATTTGGAGTTATCCATAGAGATATAACCTAGAGAGAACAAGAGCCCCAATCTTACAATATAGGCTCTATCTCTTTCTAGCCGAGGTCTGTGGTTGGCTGGGGAATATGAGGGGTAATAAGTAGCCAATC